GCTTCCACTTTCTTCAAAATAGGTTTCTTCTTTTGTTAGCCCATGACATAGTCAATATTTTTCAACAACACTACAATTTAAAGGCATCAATTATTGTTAAGACTTCTTTATTGTCCAACTTTCAAATTCATAGGAAGCAATTAAAAATGTCTTGGCTTAAGTTAGGCACTCCTTGGTCTTTAAACTATCTTTGCTCTTCAGTACTGCAAAGACATCACTGATAACAGATTTTACAAATGTTACATATCTTTTAATTTCTCAACTGCTGTTAACATGGGTGTTGACTATAGATATGTTGTTGTTGTTGTTAAGTGCTGTCGAGTCACTGGCAACTCATTAGCAACCCTATGAAGGAGAGTCCTCGACACAACTATAGATATAAGTAAAATAAAATCATGTTGTTGTTGTTACACAGGTTGAGTCATGTGAAACCCATAGCGACTGGAGCTCTGCAGCCTGCCCTTTCCTGAGCCAGTCTCACGGACTCAGACATACCTATCCTCATTGCCCCAGTTACTATATCAATCCATCTAATCCTAGTTCTTCCTCTCCTATGCTGTACCTCCACTCTTTCCCTTTCTATTATAACATTGCCTACTCACTCAGTAGTGAGAATTTTTGTTTCCTTGATGTTGAAACATAACCTATATTGGAAGCTTTAGTGTTTGATCTTCAGCAGTAAATACTGCAAGTTTCTTCCCTTTCTGAATGCAAGGTTGTGTCATCTGCTTAAAGCAGGTTGCTGATGAGTCCTTTTCCAATCCTGATGCCAAATTCTTCTTCATGTAGTCCAGCTTCTCAAATTACTTCCTCAGCAGAGAGACTGACTAGATATGGCAAAAAGATATAACCTTGACATACACCTTTTGACTTTAAACCATGTAGTATTCCCTGTTCTGTTTGGGCATCAGCTTCCTGGCTCATATATAGGTTTCATATGAACACAACTGAGTGTTCTGGGATTTCCATTCTTGTCAAAGGTATCCTTAATTTATTATGAGACACACAGTAAAAAGCCTTTGTATCATCAATAAAACACAAGTAAATATCCTTCTAGTATTTTCTATATTCAGCAAAAATCCATCTGACATCTGCAATTATAACCTTCGTTCAAAGACTTCTGAATCCAACTTGAATTTCTGGAAGTTCCCTGTAAATGTAATACTCAAGCCATTTTCCAAAAATCTGCAGCATGATTTAACTTTGTGATATGATGACATTTTCCCATGATTTCCACACTGTTGGCTTATCTTATTTTTATTACTACTATGGGAACAATTATGAATCTCTTCAACTTGACCAGGTAGCTGCCTTCTAAATTTGGTGAGCAGGTCCAAGGTTGCATCTGTTGAAACATCTCAATTTGTGTTTCATAAATTCTTAGTGTTTTTTTTTTTTGCCAATGACTTTAGTCAATGAAACTTATGCTTCACCCTTCAATACTACTGATATTGATCATATGCTACTTTCTGAAATGGTTCTGGGTTCACCAAATGTTTTGGTACAGTGACTTGTGCATTCCTTCTATTATCTTTGATACATCTTACATTGTGCATGATTTGGTTATCCTTCATGGACCTGAGACTTGAACCTAATTTTCAGTTCTCTTAGCTTGAATTGTCATGATGCAGCAGAGTATTGAATATCCCATACGAGATGCACATACAAGTCTATCTCGGAGAAAATGCAATCAAGATGCACGTTAGAGGCAAGGATTGTGACCTGACCTTTAAATGGAAGAAAATGTCAGGTAAAATAAAAGTAAAATCTGGTATTTGTTAGAGAAACAATGAAGAAATTATAGATGTTTGGAAAGGGGAGACATGAGAATCAGGTTATAGTGGATCAAAGCCTATATTGAGAGGACATAAGAAAGTAAAGATTTATTTACATTTTATAGACTTTTAAAAATATACCTTCAAAGAAGCAAAAAGAAACCACAATAAAAAACTCTGCCTGGAGGAACATATTTTGAAATATTAAATATAGCTTTACAATTAAAGACTTCCAGAAAAAAATAAACTGTAATATATATATTTAATATTATTAAATATTTTCTGTGGCTTCTTGCTGCCCGAGCATGGCATGGTGGTCCTCATGCGCAAGTAATCGCAAGAGGTATAGCACTGGGCTGTGCATTGCTGTACAGAGGTAACTTGTGGTTGCTGTGATGGTGAACACTGTAACACTGATGTACCAAATGTGATAATGGTTACCCATGGGGGACAGTGTTTGCTGGAGTTTCCCGATTAAAACAAGCCTGGAAGCAGGAGTGGCATCCACTTCCGAAATGGCTTGCCTCGGAGACTCTATGAACAGTTCTCAGGTCTTTCATTCATAGGGTCGCTATGAGTCATCTACGACTCAATGGCACCTAACAGCAACAACAACATTAAATAAGATAATAAATAACTGTAATATAACATAAAATATATGAGAATATTCCTTTTTTTTTGTAAATACACGAATACATTTTCTTAAAATGAGTACTGTGTGATTGTGTGGAGCATTGAAATGCTAAAAAAGGTTAGTTGTTCAAACCTACCATCCTTTCCATAGTAGGAAGGTGAAGGAGGCTTTTTACTTCTGTAATGATGTACATCATCAGAAACACTATATATTACAGTTCTGCTCTGTACCTAGGATTGTTATATGTCAGAATTACTTAAGGGCAGTAGGTTTTTTATGAAAGACAGATACATATAAGTCTATTTATAGATAATGAAAGGAGTCTTAGTGGACTAGCAAGTTACCTAGTTAGCGATTATCCACATCAACAGAAGGCAGATAGTATCACCACCTCCTGTAAAATTTTATAGTCTCTGAAGCTCAAAGAAGGCTAGTCATGATTCAAAATTAACTTGATCATAATGAGTTTGTGTACAGATAATGTTGTTGTTATGTGCCATTGAATCACCTGCAACTCATCACGACCCTAGGTACAACATCCCTAAACCCTACTCTATCCCTTGCCAATCTCACTGTCTCCGACACACCTATCCCTCTTACCCCAGTGATGGAATCAATCCATCTCATCGAGGGTCTTCCTCTTCTGCACTGTCCCTTCACCCTTCCAAGCATGACTTCCATCTCCCATGTCCAAAATATGTCAGACAAAGCTTCAGAATCCTTGCCTCCAAGGAGCAGCCTGGCTTCACCCTCTCCAGGATGAACATGTTTGTTCTCCTAGCAGTCCATGGTATATTCAATACTCTTCTTTGCCTTTGGTTTACATAATACATTCCAAAAACTCATTGTCTTTGACTTGGAAAAGGGGTCAGGGCTGCCCCTCTACCACATTTGCCAGACTGTAAATTACAGGCGGGGAGGCGAGGGTTGGGGAACAGGGAGGTGAGTTTAGCTGAGGGACTGGCTTGGGGTGAGAGGATTGAGGGGTCAAATGGGGTGGGGGAGGACTGATATTGCCCATCTGTCTTCTGCAAAATAACTCTATTGTATTCTGATCATCAGACACGAACTGACTTAGAATTAGCCCTGTGATTTCTGTGCACTCTGTCACTTGTCATAAGAATAAGGAGTATGGAATATAAATAGAGATGGATAAAGAAGAAAGAAAATCTTAAATTCAATGCTGTATTTTGTTGTCATTATCAATTTTTTTCTTTTCCTGGGAAAGGTATTCTTATCTTTTAAATAATATTTTACTACTAAAATTATTTTTTATAAGTATTTTAATGAAAGTTTACAGACAACTAGTATTCCCATTTGTTCATTGTAGTACATTTTCCTCCCTCCCCCTAGTTCACTTTTCTTTTTTAAAAGATTCTCTCATTCCTGCTCCTCTCTGCACCCCACTCCACTTTGCTATGCACTTCTTACTCTGGACTGTCATCATGCAAACAATACCTAATCATACATTCCTTTTAAATAGTCCTTTCCCTCATCTGCTTCAATGCACTGTTCATTATTTATCCCCTCTTTTCTTAGTTTCCTCACAACCCCCATATCAATCCTGCTTTATAACAGTGGCATTATGCAGTATTTGTCCTTCCATGACTGAGATGTTTCACTTGGCATTATGTCCTCTAGGGTCATCAATTTTGTCTATTTTATTAGTTTCTTGGTTTTCAGTTCCGTATAGTATTCCATTGTGTGAATATATCACAGCTTCTCCATCCATTCACTTGTTGATGGGCACTGATTTTGCTTCCATCTCTTTGTTATTGTGAACCACACAGCAATAAACATGTGTGTACATATATCTATTTGAGTGGCAGTTCTCATATATTTTGGATATCTTCCCCATATTGGAATTGCTTGGTCATAAGATATTCCTATTTACAACTTTTTTCAGAAAATTCAATTGTCTTCCATAATGATTGCACCATTTTACACTCCGTCCAACAGTGAATAAGGTTCCAATTTCTCCACAACCTCACCAGCATTTGTTGTTTGCGGTTGAACTTTGTTACTGTTAGTGGGGGGAAAATAAACATATATTACATACTTTATCATCTACATATGTTTTATATCCTAAAAAATCTTAAGGATTTTTCTTGAACCAAAACCAATATTCATTAAAGATATAATTTTTCCACTCAATCAAATGTTGTTGTTTTATACTTTGTAGTCAGAACCTACTCATAGCTGACCCTTAAGCGGGTTTTCACAGGCAGTAAATCTCTTAAGAAGAGATACCCCAAACTTTTCTTGTGGAGAAGCTGGTGGACTTGAACCTCTGAGTTGGCAGTGCAAATCCTCACCACTCCATATAGTGGATTATAGAGTTTAAGCTTCATTTAGGTCAAAGAATGATTGTAGAAAAATTTAAATTTATTGTAAAAATAAATTCTTAAGAAAATCTCTGCTACTATACCACATGGCCATTTCAGGAAGGATATTAAAGCAAGGGCACATAGATTATGATGTAAAAATAAACTTGTAAATTTGCTTTACTTGACTATAGATTTTTGGTATCTACTCCTCACAAAACCTCTATGCTTTTTACATACAGGTTGGATAACTGTCAAAAGCAAATGATGAGAAATCACACAGCTATAACAACTTTCATTCTGCTGGGACTGACAGATGACCCACAAATGAAAACTCTGCTTTTTATCTTCCTATTTCTTACCTACATATTGAGTGTGACGGGAAACTTGACTATTATTACCCTTACATTGATGGACTCCCACCTTAAAACTCCTATGTACTTTTTTCTCAGAAATTTCTCTTTCTTAGAAGTCTCATTTACCACTGTCTGTATTCCTAGATTCCTTTACAGTATATCAACAGGTGATAATACTGTGACATACAATGCTTGTGCCTGTCAAATATTTTTTGTTATTCTCTTTGGAGCAACCGAATTTTTCCTCCTGGCCGCCATGTCCTATGATCGCTACGTAGCTATCTGTAAACCCCTGCATTACATGACCATCATGAGCAACAGAGTCTGTGCCTTGTTAGTCCTCTGTTGTTGGGTATCTGGCTTGATGATCATTATCCCTCCACTTAGTTTGGGTCTTCAGCTTGAATTCTGTGATTCCAATGCTATTGATCACTTTAGCTGTGATGCAGGACCCCTACTGAAAATTTCATGTTCAGATACTTGGGTGCTGGAGCAGTTAATTATACTTGTGGCTGTATTTGCACTCATTATCACACTAGTGTGTGTGGTTCTGTCCTATACATATATAATCAGGACAATTCTAAGATTCCCCTCAGCTCAGCAAAGAAAAAAGGCCTTTTCTACTTGCTCATCCCACATGATTGTAGTTTCCATCACTTATGGGAGTTGTATCTTCATCTACATCAAGCCATCAGCAAAGGATGAGGTGGCAATAAATAAAGGTGTTTCAGTGCTCACAACTTCTGTAGCCCCCTTGTTGAATCCCTTCATCTATACCTTAAGGAACAAGCAAGTGAAACAAGCTTTCAATGACTCTATAAAGAGGATGACATTTCTATCAAAGAAGTAAAAAAATTTTGAATCATAGTAAAACAAAAATAAGAAAGTCTCTTAATAATGAAGTTTTTAATTTATTTGATTGCTTCCTATCTATAATTAGGCTAACCTATTCAAGGACTTTCAACATTAGTATGTCCATATGTCATTGTAGCCAAATCACTATTTTTTATTCTTTCAAACTAACATCATGCATTATGCTTTTTGTCATCAAAGTATGAATACATATATAATATATAGCTGATACATTAGAGTTGGTCTCCAATTTTGACATAATCTTTTCTTCAATATTCATTGAAAATAATTCTATTAAATATGCACAAACTTTATGGAAGATCAAATACATAATAATAGTACTAGATTTTCACTTTTCTTAAAAATGCATTGAAATGAGTATCACACATCCAATAACAAAGATAAACTATAAGAAGGGCAAAAATATACTCTAAAATAAATCAATCCACATAAGACATTTCAGGCTCACTAAAATGATGATCACCAAATGAGTAAAAAGATATCTACAAGATGATTGTAGAAATGTTTTAATTTTTTCTAATGTGATTACTCATGACATCTGCAGATATTATTGGAGATACAAGTAAATAAAGATTTACTGGCAGAAACTGGCAGTACATAAAAAGATCCAGTAGTTGAATTTTTTTTCAGCATGTCAGAATATTAGTTTATATCTCTTCCCCAATTGTTATAGTGGCATTTTTTTTAAAAGTTAATATTTTCAAATTTCATAACAAATTTCATGTACCAAAATTATTTTGTTTTTATATACTTCTGATTGTAAACTTTGAAAAAGAAATGGGAGATTATAATTTCTCTATTATCTATCATTTTTGAAGCATGTAATAGCTCTGTGACTTTCTGGAGTCTTTAGTAAAGTACTATTATATATTTTAAACACCATGAGAACAATCTGACTATCCAGATGAAGAAACCTACAAGGGAGTTTTAAAAGTTAAAGAAATTACTTAATATTTTAGTATGCATGTTTAACATTATAACAACTTAATGGTAAGTAGAAATAACTGTTTTATATATATATATATTTATATATATGCTGTTTTACATATATATGCTGTTTTGTATATATATATAAAATGTTTTTTATATATATGTAATTTTTTTAAAAAAAAGAATTTAAAAATTTTAAAACTAGCTGCTAATTTCCCTCCTATACCATAAAATTTCTAAGTAAAAACAAGTAGTTCAGGATTTCAACACCCAAATGGAAGTAAAGTTGGATGCGAAAAAACCAAAACTATACAAAAAAGAATTGCTTCAGTTTTCTTTGCCAACAACTTTGTTGTCATTGTTAAGCGCTGTTGAGTCAAGTATGACGCATAGTGACTCTATGAACAACAGTATGAACCCTGTCCTATCCTACACCATTCTCATCATCCTGGACACATCTGAGTCCATTGCTGTAGCCACTGGAACAAGCCATCTCTTTGAGTCATTATCCTTGACTGATAGTCCACCTTCCCAAGCATGATACCTTTTCCCCAAGGAATAGCTTCTTTTAACAACATGATCAAAATACATAGAAAAAAAAAATTTCCATTCTTGCCTCTAAGGAGCAATCTGATTGCATTTTCTCCAGATATATGTTTATTGTTTTGCCAGGCAATGGTATATTCAGCACTATTCTCCACCATCACAATTCAAAAGCATTGGTTTTTCTCTAGTCCTTATTTACTTACAGCTCTCACGTTTATAGCAGGTGTTTGGAAATACTGTGATTTGAATTGGATACAGTTTAGTCTTTAAACTGACATAATTCTTCTTTAGGAATTTGGTAAGATCCTTGATATCAGATTTTCAATCTTTTTTCCAACTATGATGTTGTTGCTTATTCTCCTAGTGATGAGGATTTTGGATTCTTGAGGCTGAGACTGAATTCATATTGAAATAAGTCTGCAGTCCTTAATCCTCTGCGGCAAGTGTCTCAGGTCTTCCTCACTTTCAGCAACAAAGCTGTGTAATCTACATAACAGATTTTTAAAATATGAATATTCCTCCAATCCTGATGATACACTCTTCAAAGAGTTCTTTTTCTCCATTGATTTACTCTTCATACCTATTGAAAAGGTATGGAGAAAGGATACAACCCTGGCACACAGCTTTCTTGATTTTAAACCATGCAGTATTCTCTTTCTCTAAGTCTTGTTGGTCTAGTTATAGATTTTGTATAATCATTATTAACTGTTCTGGAATTCTCTTTCTTTTCAATGCTAGCTGTAAATTGTTATGATCCACCGTCAAATGCCTTTGCATAGTCAATAAAACACTAATAGATATTCTTCTGGTATATTCTCTGCTTTCAGCCAAAGTTCATCTTACAGCAGCAATGATATCCTTAGTGTCTCAGCCTCTTCTAAACTCAGCCAGAACTTCTGGTTGTTCTCTGTCAATGTTCTGTTCTAGTCATTTTTGGATGATCTTCAGCAACATTTTGCCTGCATGTGAGATTAATGATATTGCTCAATAATTTCCACATTCTGTTTGAAACACCTTTCTTGGGAATGGGAACAAATGGATCTCTTCCAGTCAGTTTCAGCTTTCTTTCAAATTTCCTGACACAAACTGATGAACATGTCCAGGTTACATCTTTTACTTAGCTGTGGCACCATCTTCACCAGCAAGTAGAACTGGACACAAAATAGCTTCAAGTATAATAATAAATAAATTTAAAATAAGCAATAAATTATTTTAAAATAAATTAGTGTTAAAAACATTGATAACTTCATCAAGGAATTAAACATATTATTATTTTTAAGGTTGTTGTTGTTGTTGTTCTTGTTCTTGTTATGTGCCATCGAGTCGCTTACGATTCATAGCGACCCTATATACAACAGTCCTAAACCCTGCCGTATCCTGTGCAAATCGCACTGCCTCTGACACACCCATCCCGATTACCCTAGTCACTGAATCAATCCACCTCATAGAGGGTCTTCCCCTCCTGCACCATCCTCCCAAGCATGATGTCCCTCTCCAAGGACCTCTCCCTCCTTACAACATGTCCAAAGTATGTCAGATAAAGCCTCAGAGTCCTTGCCTCCAAGGAGTAGCCTGGTTTAACCTTCTCCACGTTGAATCTGTTTGTTTTCTTGGCAGTCCATGGTACATTCAATACTCTTCTCCAGCACCACAGTTCAAAGGCATCAATTCTCCTTTTATCCTCCCTAGTCATTTTCCAACTCTCTGATGCATAACAAGTGATTCCAAAGACCATAGCCTGTATCAGATGCACCTTAGTCTCCAGAGTGACACCATAGCTCTCAAGTACCCTGGAGAGGTCCCTAACAGCAGACTTTCCCATCGTAATATGTTTTTGATTTCCTGGCTACTGGTGCCAAGAGTGTTGACCGTGATAGAACACACAAAATACAAAGCCCATCAATATATTTCCTAAAAGAGACACATTTAAGAAATGAGATATTAAAGGCTTTTAAACTGTGTATCAAGGAACTGGCATCCACAAAAAAGCATGAGTGGGAATACTAACTTCTGATAAAATAGTCTTCAGGATGAAAACAACAATAAAATGGAGGAGAGGGGAATAAAGACATTACATAATGATTAAAGGCACAAAAGATGAAGAAGACATAACCTCGGTCAATATCTGTGCATCAAATGATAGACATAAAAGTACATAAAACAATAATTAATAGATTTGAAGATAGAAGGCATCACAGTAGTGGTAGGAAACATTAACACATTCTCATCAAAGGATAGGCCAACTCAAAATAAACTTAGTAAGAATGGAGAAGGGTTTAATTGTTGATCAAAGCAAGATGAAATCATTGACATCTTCAATCTTTTCTCCACCTATACTAATATTAACTGTTGGGCCTGTGGTGAGGATCTTTGTCTTCTTGAAGTTGAGGTGTAATATGTACCCAATACTATAGTTCTTAATCTTCTAGAACAAGTGTTTTATATCCTACTCACTTTCAGCAAGCAAAGTAGTGTCATTAGCATAACACAGGTTGTTGAGGAATCTTCCTACAATCCTGATGTCACTATCCTCTTCATAGAGTCTAGCTTCGTAAATTTAGAGGACAGCTAATTCTACAGAATGCAATATACATGATTCATGCAATCCCAATATAGACAACACATTCTTTTTTCAAAGAGATAGGAAAAGCAATTGGCAAATTTATTTGGAAAAAAGAGAGCTGGAATAAGCAAAACAAGTAGGAAAAATGAAAATGAAGTGGGAGGCATAATCTACTTTTTTTTTTTTTGGGTGTTTTTTTTTTTACTTTTTTTTCTATAATTATATTTTATTAATTTTCATAAACATTTACAGAGATTTTGGGCTTCCACTCATTCATTGTTGCACTATTCTCTCTACCCTCCTCCCAGTTTGTTCTTGTCCAAATGCCACAGTGCTTGTCAAAGCCAGTTCTGATTAATCTTCTTTGTCAGTGTATCCTTTGCCATTCCCTATCACTCCTCCCTGAGAGAGACTTCACCCTGAGTCATAAGGAAAAGGGGACGGCGTATTCTCTTAGCTACTTCCTGCTGAAAAGGGACGCTGTGGGTTTCAGGGTGAAGATCTTCTCTCACTACTCTAAAGGGCCCCTTTGGCAGTAGGAAACACTCAAAACCTACCACACAAACATAATAAACAACATGGCACTGGTACAAAAATAGTATGGTATATGGTACAAAAATTGACGTAGACTAATGGAACAGAGTTGAGAACCCAGACACTAACTCAACTACCTCTGGTCTGGCCTTTGACAAGCAATCAACACCTATCAAATGGGGAATGGCAACCTCTTCAATAAATATTGTGGCAAAATAGGACTTCTACATGCAGAAAGTTGAAGAAAGATCTATATCTCAAACTATACACAAAAATTAACTCGAGGTGGGTCAGAGACATAGGAATACAGCCCCAAACCATAAAGATCATTAGAGACAAAATAAGACAAAACGTATAAGTCCCAGTCTAGGGTATCAATAGGATTGAAAATACAATCAGAAAAG